GACAGTTGATTTAGTTGTGGTGGTGGAAGTTTTTCACGGCGTTGTACGAACGCATACAGCAGCGGTTTATGGTCTGTAAATATTGTAACGTGTTGAACCTCGAGTACGTGGCGGAAGTGCTGTACGCTTTCGTAAACGGCCAGTAATTCGCGGTAGTAAGCTGGCCACTGTGTTTGTTGTGAACTTAGCTTCTTACTGAAAAAGGCGAGAGGTTGCCATTCGTCATCCACTTTTTGCTGCAGGGTTGCTCCGATGTGGGAACTGGATGCATCGGTAAATAATCCTAGTGGAACGTTTGGAGCTGGATGGGCTAGCATAGTAGCATCACTGAGAGTTTCTTTGCATTTCTGGAATGCTAATGCCAAACTTTCGTTCCAGGGAACGGGTTTCGAACCTTTTAGCTGGTTGTCGGCGAGGACGCTTATCAGAGGTGCTTGATATTCTGCAGCTTTAGGTATGAATCTGCGGTAGTAGTTGAGCATACCCAGAAACCTACGAAGCCCCTGCGCGGTTTTTGGTAAGGGGAAATTTTTGATAACGTCGACTCGTTGGCTTGGAGGTTTGATGCCTGCCGCCGAGATGTTGTACCCTAGGAAGGTCACCTCTTTAGCTCCCAGTACGCACTTGTTAATAATCACGCCGTATTTTTGTAAACGCTGGAATAATATAGTAAGATGTTCTGCGTGCAGGACAGCATCATGAGAAAATACTAAAATATCGTCGACATACGGGAAGACGAAATCTAAACCGCGGGTGACCTCATCAATAAACCTTTGAAAGGTTTGACCGGCGTTTCGGAGTCCAAAACTCATGTACGGGAATTCGAAGAGGCCAAAGGTCGTAATGATGGCCGTCTTACAAATATCTGGAGGGTGGACGGGAATTTGCTGGTATGCTTTTACCAGGTCTATAGTGCTGAAGACTGAAGCACCCCTCAGATTGTATGCAAGGTCACCTATGTGTCTCACCGGATATCTGTCGGGAATGGTCCTAGCGTTTAAAGCACGATAATCGCCACAAGGTCGCCATGTAGAGTCCTTTTTAGGGGCCAAGTGTAATGGTGAGGACCAAGAGCTGCTGGATGGCGTAGCAGTGCCCGTCTGTACCATATCTGTAAAAGCTTGTTGTGCGGCTTTAAGTTTTTCGGGAGCAAGGCGGCGAGGTCGGCTAGTTACTGGTGGGCCGTCAGTGGTGTTGATGTAATGAACCGTTTCGTGCTTGGCGATGCGTGGTAGACCAGGTGGTTTGGTGATATCTGGGAACTTACAGAGGATGTTGTAATAGGACGAGTTGCCGGGGTTGACTACGATTGCTTTTACACCATTGATTGGATCAGGAGGTGCGACGATAGCAGAATTGGATAGACCTGTCTTACCATCTACAATCCGTTTGTTGGCACAGTCGGGAAGAAGGTGGTAGTGAGCAAGAAAGTCGGAGCCAATGATCGGAGCGTTCACGTCGGCAACCACAAATTGCCATATAAATTCGCGGCGTAGTCCGAAATCTAATTTGAGATTGACTGTACCGTATGTTTTGATGCAACTGCCATTCGCGGCGCTTAATGAATAATCTGTAGGTGTTCTGCGGTCGCGAATCCACCGGAAGGGGTAACAACATAAGTCAGATCCAGTGTCAATTAAAAATCTGTGTTTAGTAGTTTTGTCCGTTACGAAGAGGCGGCGTCCTTGGGAATCTATCGAACAGCAATCAGTATCCGCCTTTACTGATTGCTTTCTTGGTTTTCCGCTCGCCAATTACACGGTGCAACACACTTGCTAGCTCTGCGACCGAATTTATTATGGTACCAACACGGTTTGTTGGCTGGTGTCCCAGAGCGTGATCTATTGGGATAAGATGTCGAGCGGTTTCTTGATCTGCTATCTCGTGTGTTTTGGGCAGCTGAGAGAGCAGCGACCTGTTTGGTAAGATTTTCGACGCATTCTACAAGTGTGCTTAGAAGGGGAGGAGTATTATCCACACTATATACATTGGCAGGTCCGGGGGTCACTTCCATAATTTTATCTGCAAGCTCTGCTAACTTCTCCAAACTCAGATCTGCTTGTGCTGCCAAAATAGCTTGTACTTGGCAGGGCAAGCGGCGAAGCCAAAGTTGCCTTAGAAGATTATCATCTTTGAGTGTTGAGCCAGCAAGTGAACGGAGATGTCTTAAGAAGGTCGACGCTTTCCTATCACCAAGCTCTTCGTCGCCCAATAATCGGCGAACCCGCTGCTCCTCCGAAGTGGAGAGGCGACGGATTAGTTCACTTTTTAGCTTAGTGTACTTGTGTTCCTTCGGGGGATTCATAATAATATCTTCGATTTCCCCAATAACACGTTGGTCAATGGATGCCAGTACATGGCTAAATTTGGTCATGTCTGTGGTTATATCAGCAAGATGAAATTGGGCTTCTGCTTGTGCAAACCAAATAGCTGGCCTGTCAATCCAGAAAGGTGGTAATTTCACAGACACTCTGCAAACTTGTTCTTTTTGCGATGCTGTAGAGGTTTCTGCTGTTTCTGTTTGTACCTGATGGAGTTGAGCTTTCAAGGTAGCATTTTGAGCTAAAAGCTCTTCTAATTTAGCATGTAATTCTGCTTCAGCCATGGTCCCGGTTAGTAACACAAAAATCTAATGATAAGCGATGATGTTCAAAAAAGATAACAATTTAGATTTAAAATAAAAAGAAAATAATAATAATGCAAGTATGCCAAATATCCTTCTCCGCAGGTGTGCAGTAAGAAAAAATAATATTTTAAGTATGTTAATTAAACAAATTAAAAGTTGGATTGGCACATGCAAAAAAGAAAAAATATTCTTAATTATTTCTAGACCGTTAAAATGTTAACAATGTGGAATGGAACTTGCTTTTTATAGAAATTTTAGTTTATAAATGGTTATAGCAAGTTATATGGATAACATCACCAATTCAAAATCATAAGTAATGAAAATATATTTCAAAAGAAGGCAATAGCAAAATAAGAATAAGGAAAACACACATTAAAAGAGAAATAAAAATTTGTAAACATGCAATTGAAATTTGACACCGATTATAATAATTAGTTACTTTGTTGTTTGGGCTATCAAACATTAATTATCTGATTTCAAAAACAGATGGTTAACAATACCACAAATTACATATATTTTAATCATATTGTCTTAATAATATTGTCTTAATAAACCGCTAGAAAAAAATTTACTACTTAATTCACCGGTATTTGAATTGCAATTTGAAATAGTTGTTAATTAGGGTTAATACTAGAATTAATGCTAAATTAAATAGAGTTATTACTAAATGTTCAATAGTCCAGTTTGTATGTTATTGCAGCAGCTGCATTATGCACTAAGTTCACGAAATGTCAGATTTGGATTAAAAAAGTACTTGCGTGCGTTGCGATGCTTGGGATGTGGAGAGTAGACGGAGCAAGCAGTCCTCTAACAGTTAGTAGCGCCGAGTATGTTAGCAGGAGTTTAGCAGGGGATAGCACGGCAAGGTTATGCACTTTGAACACTTAATCAACACCAACACCACAATAACACCACATGCACTGTACGCGAACGTAGTCTAGTTGGATTTGCAGTGAAGTTTTTAGTACAAGGACGCTATTTTGTTACGAAAGCCGAGACGACGCCATTTTGTGAATGACAAAATTTTGTGTAGGAAAAATCGATTCCAATAGTCTCGTTGCTGCTAGTGGATGCGCCTACGCCGATGGGTTTCAATCTTCTTCATTGACGCAGGTTATTTCATAGTCGGGGTCACCAATTTGGGAGGCTTTGGTGAGTCGGCGTCTCCCATGCCGGAATGAAACTCCGTAGACGTTTCGACAAAGAACAGCGTGTATTGACGCACTTTGCGTAGAATCAGGCGTGGATACAATGATAATAAAGTAGCACACACAATTAACACTACGTGAATTATATACATTTCACATTATTAAAAGAGTAATTATAATCGCGATGCGCGCGGTAAAAAGTTGAGGCCTCTCTCTGACAAGTCAAAAGTTTTGTAGTCAAACCACAGATTAAAAAGCACTTGTCTATACCTAGAGTAAATGTGCGTTCGGAAATCACTTATTTCCGAACGCCACACTTCCATTACTTTTATAGCAAAAGTTTCATTTTTGGAGACTTATCTGACATTCAATAAAAAATTATAAATATTAGGACATACAGTCTAATTTTTTAGAAATCAGCAGAAATGTCATCAAAAATGGCCAACTGACATAAAAATATTTTTTGTCTGTGAACTAGTGATGCGACAAAACCTCTCGTTAATCGCGAAGTGAAATTATTGTAGTACTTGCGTATCATCGCCGGGTGATCGTCAAAATACTAAAAATATGCAACAAAGTCGCAACGTTGAATGTGAACTGATTATGAAATTTTCGTGAACAGGAAACAAACTGTATGCACAGATGTAATCAAAAAACACACTGGACAGTAAAACAATCAATGATATCCGTAAAGTTATTAAACTTCAAATAGCTGCAAAAAGTTCTGTTTGACAGTGTTGCTACTAGTGACATCTCGCTCGCTCAGTTCTTTGTTGCTCTATTTCGCTAGGGAGGTAATTTAAGATGCTATCAATAGGTTATTTTTGACATGACATTGACAGATATGTCAAAATCCACCAATCACGCAGCATTTGGACCTCTTGTCTACGTATTGCCATCTGGCGAATTTTTCAATCGCGAAAACTCTCATTGAAAGAAGATTTTTATTTTCTTTTATTTTATTTACTTATACAGGGTGTTAGGTAAATGGGTATATGATCCGACACTAGCCCATGTTAACATGGGCATATAAATGGTATGGTGAAGTNACGCCACACTATAATAAATGAATTATGCACCTTGTACCTACCAATAAGTTACTGTATAAGTAAAAGTTGATTGATGTATTATCAGAAATCGCACCAATATTATTACAATCTTATCTCATGAAGAACTAATCCCATCTTTATCCAACTCATATAGTTAGTATAATCTTGTAATACCTATTTGTATTTCTTACGTTTAAAAGCTGAAATCTAAAACTCGTTGCAGTAGTCCCCGTCATTTTTTGAACTCGCACCTACACGTCCATGAAATGAAATCGAATTGATATCATAAAGTTATTATAAATATGGGTATCAAACTCGTCTTTTTGTTTCTGTCATTTTTCGCAACTGGGAAGTTGGTAATTTCATTGTCGCTGACATCTGCCTACGACAAATTGTCTGAAGATGGCAAGTTGAACTTCACAGGAATCGCTGCCAAGTACGGGTATGCTTACGAACAGTATGAGATAACCACTGAAGACGGGTACATCCTGACCATGTTTCGCATCCCCGGCGACGCGGACAAGCCTGTGCTGCTGGTGCACGGGAACACGGTTACTTCCGACTGCTACATCATCAGAGGGAACGAATCCCTAGCACTCACACTAGCCAGGAAAGGCTACGACGTCTGGACGATAAACCTTAGAGGCACAAGATACTCGAGAAGCCATGTAACTCTGGACCCAGATACGCAGCCGGATCAGTTCTTCAACTACAGTTTCTACGAGTTGGCTATATATGACATGCCCGTCACTATCGACTTCATCCTGCAGGAGACGGGACAATCGGAGCTGATCGCATTCGGACACTCCATGGGGACTACGCTTTTCTACGTCCTAGGATCAGAGAAACCAGAGTACAACGATAAGATAAAACTTTGCATATCGTTAGCTCCTATATGTTTCCTGGAGCATATCACTGGTTTGGCTTCCACACCGGCCAAGTTTGCGGCGGAATTAAATTTACTCGGAATCGCAACGGACACCCAAGAACTTTTAAGTTACAGTGTCACGACTCCCATACTGCAAGCTCTATGTCTTCAACCCACGGGATATGCTGTGTGCATCCAGGGCGTTCTGTTTTATTTATTTGGATATGATTCGGCAGGGTTAGAAGAGGAGTTCATGTACACACTATTTGGGCATTTTCCAGGGGGTACGACTAGAAAGATATTTGATCATTTGGGGCAAGTTTATAATAGGAATGTGTTCGCTAAGTATGATTACGGTACAGCAGGGAATTTGATCGCTTACAACAGCACGGAGCCGCCAGAGTTTGACCTGAGCAAGGTGAAGATGAAGAGCGTCCTGATTGTAGGGCAGGAGGACTTCTTGGCGCGGGATGCGGACGTGCAGCGCCTCAACGCGTCGCTGCCCAACGTGGCGGAGTACCTCGTGCTCCCCTATGAGAACTTCAACCACGTGGATTTCATTTGGGGTAATAACATGACCAACAATTTTTACCCATATGTATTTGAAGTGTTGGAAAATTATACATAAAGTAGGTAAATTAAGGTATATTATAATAATAACTAAATATCGATGTAAAACATCTTACTTGTTTGTTATCATAAAAAATAATTAAAATGATAAATAGTTTTTATCATTAGTAATTTTTAAATTTTAGTTTTTAAGTCATTTTATTGTAATGTATTATTATAAAATTTATTCTCTAATAAAATTTCCCATTATTAAAATGATTAATATGTAAAATTTTAAGCTTCAAAAATCTTCAGGTACTTATCTTAATAGAAATAAACACGAAACAAAAGTTTTATATTTTTATTTTCGTCCTGGTGAAGCGGCCTCTCTCATTATTTTACTTTATGTCGCATCAAAAATAAATTCATTAACGCCTATTCAAATTAAGTGTGTAAAATTACTAAACGATACTTTTGCCATATCTGTTGTGTGTTCAGCAGAAAAAAAAAACAAAATTAAATCATTGTTAACTAGTTGTTATTAATATCAAGAAACATTAATCTTACTTCATGTATCTCGTTTAAATAAAAGATAGCTTTTGTGCTTTTCTAGGTGCGCCTGGTCGTGACTCACTGTAGTAGGTATTTGGTTTACCTACTGAAAAACATTAACCCCACCAAAAACGTTTTCATGTAAAATGTTGCCAAGACGAGACCATAATTATGACTCGCACTGTCAAAAAGTTATCAGATCTCATGTAGAGCCAAGCTTCTCTCTACAAGGCCTAACTGGCCTAACTTCAAACTCTACCACCTTAGTCAAAATATCTGCGGTTTTCGATGTTTTTACATTTTCATATTGTGTTTTTAGGACTGTTTAAACAATATTATAGTGTAAACCCATCGAAAATTGTGGACTCTTAATCTAAAACTGAGTTAAAGACAGTTGAAGTCCGGATTTGGACAAGGATTGAATATGGGAAATGGGCGTAAAACTACATAATAATATATGTGAAACCAATAAAGCCCTAATTTCTAACGAATTTGTTAATCACTTGAAGACGTGGTGTGGGCAGGCTCCCCACTAGGTGGACCCACGATCTGGTGAAGGTCGCGGGAAGTACCTGGATGCGGGCAGGAACGGTTTTAATGGAAATTCTAGGCCTTTGTCCAGCAGTGGAGTGGACGTTATTTCATTTGGCTGAAAAGAAGGAACAACATACGCAAAATAAAAAGGTTCAGGGCCCATAATGTTCTAATTTTAAGTACGGACGACAGCACATCAACCTAAACATAGTGGCGTCTTATTTCTTTGTAATACAGGCTATTTTGCAACAAAAATGTATAGTCATAGTCATATATGTTTATAGGTTGATGTGCAGCTGTCGACTGTACATAATGGATGCAATAAAATGTTGAGTATTGAGTCATTTCAATTCGTAACGGAGAGAGAGCTATGTTTTAGCGACTGCTCCTGTAGCAAACTGCACCAAGGCCTTCTTCTTAATTCCATAATACAGAATGAAACTAAAAACTACATTCAATTCAAGCATAGATTGATACTTTTGGTTGTTTTGTAATACGAACCTTGGATCATTATAGGCCTGGCAATAGAGTCCCTACGTACCATTACTGTTACAATACAATACACTGTAATGCGGAAACCGACAATGTAACCTGCTTCGCTCTTGGCGTAATTAGCTACGCAAACACAGCTGCTTCAACAATTTATTCATGCTGCGTAAGACGAGTAGAAGAATCCAAAAACAATAATCCGCCATAAATTATGACTCAATCGAGAAATGTAGGTGTGGCGTGTGTGGAGTGCTCTAACAGAAGGAAGCGGCGGAGAGGGAGCCACTATCTCCTGCCGCCGCACAGTGGTCCCGATTTAATAAAACATGGACATTGATGCTAGAGGCACGAAATTTTTTTTGATGGTTACTGCTATGATAACTAATAAGGCAAAAAAATATTACAATCCTACGACGTCTATTTCGTAGTAAAAAAAAATATATACATATTTTTTGTATGGAAGAAATTGCGTTTCTGTCAATTTTTCGAAATTCTTTATCGATGTCAAGATGCCGATCACACATGTTATAAAACAAGTGATTCTGAGTATTTCATGCGAAGATACTTGTCACTTATCTCTGCGTACTTTTGAGTTATCGAGGGTTGAAAAATCGATTTTTTTATATTAAATATTTCCACGAAAAATGGCCAGAATTACAATATGGTGTATAAGGGACACTTTTGATGACACATAACAACGACTCGCACTCGCGCGCGCTCGTATGCATCAGCTTTTAATAAAATAAAAAAAAAAATTAAGGGAAATACTTAATACAACGTTGTATGTATAGGTCCGCTGGCCGTCAAAAAGTAGCTTATACGAGAGGTTGCCCAATTTACAATATGTCCATCATTGATAACTCACACAAATATCGTCTCTCTCTGAAGGATAACAAGTTTTTTTTGTTTCCAGAAGCTCTTGATAGGATGGAAGCCCATAAATACTCTCTGAAGCGAGAATGAATCTCAAATTGCGATATTGCCATTTTGACAAATTACATGATGTAACTAGCGCTAACGTTTATCTTCAGGTAGACACAGTTTTAAGTTAAAAGATTGTCTACTATTTCACACTGTTCTTCGTTTTGGAACAGTTCTTTGATTATAGGTAGTCGCTAATTTCGTTTTGTTAGACTCTTTCAGTTTAGCACATAAAGCGTAAACTAATTCCTCCTCAGAATGATCTAAAAGTGTTAGAGAGCGCCTCTTCTTCTGCAGAAGAAGAATTTTGCATAAATCTTCAAAAGGTTTTTTATTTATACCAGAAGTCGATGGTTGCACATCTACTTCCGCAGTCTCATCAACTGGAGCGTCTTCCTCGGTGTTAACGTTGTCTATGCGTTGTGTTAACTCGGTAAAAAACATTTTTTAAATCTATATTTTTACATTTCGGCCAGACCATTTCAGACTAAAATGACGAACGTATTGGCATTGAATTGTCTTCCGAAGATTTGAGTAATTATCAAATCATTAAGTCGTAATTTTACAAGAAATATATCAAAGAAGATATGGTCTGCTTCCAGCAGAGCCCAAAAGACATTTTTGCACCAGAATTCGCATTGGCTAGACTCTGAAATTGTCTGGCCGAATTGTAAAAATATAGATTTAAACAATGTTTTTTACCGAGTTAACACAACGCATAGACAACGTTAATACTGAGGAAGACGCTCCAGTTGATGAGACTGCGGAAGTAGATGTGCAACCATCGACTTTTGGTATAAATAAAAAACCTTTTGAAGATTTATGCAAAATTCTTCTTCTGCAGAAGAAGAGGCGCTCTCTAACACTTTTAGATCATTCTGAGGAGGAATTAGTTTACGCTTTATGTGCTAAACTGAAAGAGTCTAACAAAACGAAATTAGCGACTACCTATAATCAAAGAACTGTTCCAAAACGAAGAACAGTGTGAAATAGTAGACAATCTTTTAACTTAAAACTGTGTCTACCTGAAGATAAACGTTAGCGCTAGTTACATCATGTAATTTGTCAAAATGGCAATATCGCAATTTGAGATTCATTCTCGCTTCAGAGAGTATTTATGGGCTTCCATCCTATCAAGAGCTTCTGGAAACAAAAAAAACTTGTTATCCTTCAGAGAGAGACGATATTTGTGTGAGTTATCAATGATGGGCATATTGTAAATTGGGCAACCTCTCCTATAAGCTACTTTTTGACGGCCAGCGGACCTATACATACAACGTTGTATTAAGTATTGCCCTTAATTTTTTATTTTATTTTATTAAAAGCTGATGCATAAGAGCGCGTGCGAGTGGGAGTCGTTGTTATATGTCATCAAAAGTGTCCCTTATACACCATATTGTAATTTTGGCAATTTTTCGTGGAAATATTTAACATAAAAAAATCGAATTTTCAACCCTCGATAACTCAAAAGTACGCAGAGATAAGTGACAAGTATCTTCGCATGAAATACTCAGAATCACTTGTTTTATAACACGTATGATCGGCATTTTGACATCGTTTAAGAATTTCGAAAAATTTACAGAAACGTAATTTCTTCCATACAAAAAATATGTATATATTTTTTTTTACTACGAAATAGACGTCGTAGGATTGTAATATTTTTTTGCCTTATTAGTTATCATATCAGTAACCATCAAAAAAAATTTCGTGCCTCTAGCATCAATGTCCATGTTTTATTAAATCGGGACCACCGTGCGCCGCGGCGACGTCATGGGCACAGGAGGAGAGCATGACCTCCACGGTCCACCTGCCCCTTCCTAATAAGCCTCGACCATCAAAACCACCATCCCAGGGTGTACGCAACACGTGTCTAGTGTGTAATTAATTAGCTGGAGTCGGAAGGCTAAATGACGCCTTCCTTGCAGCTCCGAGCGCGAGGGAACGCGGGCGAATGCTTGAAGCAAATGCCGATAAATACCGAGGGCAACATCAGATTTTTAGTGGATAGGCCCTGCCTTTCTGGCAGGCTTGACTTACTTGACTGCCCCCGATTTTCTGACAGTAAAAACGGCTAAAAACAATATATAGTCGGAGAGACCTTGGGTAGTCAGACTGCTAGATTAGAGTCTGTGCGAGTAGAATTTAGGATTAATTAAAGTCAGAAAAATTACCCGCGTCCATTTCCATAAACTAGTTACTATCGCAGTAAGTAAAATGGAAATAATGTGCTTAGATAAGAAAGAAATTCCCGAAATTCCCACGGAAACGGGAGTTAGCGGGAAAAAACATTTGTATGAAAAAATCTAAACTGCGTAAGATAGATGAAGGGGGTAAAACGGGATCCACGCGTACGAAGTCGCGGGCGGCCGCTAGTAAATAAATAAAATCTCGACTATATTAAGCTTATAACGATCAAAAATAGAGAGCAAACCGAAAAATTAATTATGTTGTTGACTTCCCATTTCTCCAAACTTCGATAGTCAAATAAAAATTATTGGTTTAACATTTTTTTTCTGCACCTCTACGGTACCTAAGCTACGTCCCTTCCAAAGGATGATGGGCACAAATGTATGGAAAGTGGTACCCGCTCCAATAGCCATAACCAATATATATTTTAAAAGGCCTTTAGATGTAGGTAAATGTCTGCTATGGGGCCAGATCTAATTCACGTTTTGAAAGCAGTAATTCCACTAAGTATTATAATGAAAGTATGTGTTATACTTTAACACAATCATCCATGTATACGAGTATGTATTATGACTACAACCTATTAATATAACTAAAAGAAGCATTGAAAAGGAATTAAGGAAAGGATTATACCTACGATGAACTACCCAAGCTATTAGACCTTTATTCGCTTTCATCATCATCATCGTGATCATTTTAGCCATAGGACGTCCAGTTGAACATAGGCCTCCTCCAATGATTTCCACAATGGTCGGTTGGTGGCGGCCTGCATCCAGCGCCTTCCCGCTACCTTTGTGAGGTCGTCGGTCCATCTTGTGGGTGGACTTGTTGGGTCTTGTGGGTTTATTCGCTTTAGCAACCCATAATAAAACCCTTAAGAAGTAATAAAACTTTAACCCCTTTATTAATAAAAGTTACACCCTAGTTGAACTCTGGCTTAAATTGTCATTTGGTATGGAAATGTCATTTTAATCCAAGGTTCTTCCTAGGTGTAACTTTTTATTAATAAGGGGGTAGTACTTCTTTAAATAAAAATATTTACACAGTAGATATATGAGCTAAAGCAGTACGGAAACTTAGCCCTTTCGGCGAGTTAAATACCTACACTTCAACTGAGTGTTAGGGTTGGCACTCTTAATCTTTATAAAATTAATAAGGTTCTGACTTACTTATTTATTTAAACGTTTATTTAGGTTTTTTAAATATCAAATACCTAATGGAATAAATTAATTGACTAAGTAGTTAACAAAAAAATAAAACGTTAATTAGGTTCTATAATGATCGAATACATAATCGAATAAATTGATTAAGTACTATTAGAGGCCGGTAGAAGATATTCTATTCTCATAAATAAAATACCGGATACTTACTTTCACACAGCTATTGGCTCATTTTAAATACAGTTCATCACTTCGTACAAAAGCGCGCGGAGCAAATTACTTTATCAAATAGAACACATAAATTGTTAAAAAGCGTAATTACGTAATTTAAAAAGAACTATTACTAAATCAGATGTAAGCACTTTATTTAAAAAGTCATATTTAATCATTTTTACAATTCAGAATTATTACGAAGTTTAAAAAATGAAAGTTCTGGTTTTGAAGATGCCGAGTTCAAGCAGACGTATTATACTAAGAAGCAATACACTCGTGGCATGTTTTTAAAAATACAGCGGACAGTGCATGCAATAAAATTATTATTAAAAACAAAACGCGCGCGACACTCGCGACGGATGGACTGCGAGGTTCGCTTAGAGCTCGTGTAAAGCGTGCGTCTGTGTGCGTGAGTCTGATTTCGAGCGTTTGTATGAAGCTTCCGTACTGTTTGATTTATCTACTGTGATATTTATTTCACAATCATCCCCATCAATAATTATAGAGTTAAGGAAGGATGCTGGAACAGTAAACCCTTCCTGACTCGCATAACCTAAGTACCATACGATGGACACGTATGATACTTCTTCTTTTTCTTCCTTGGTCTCTTCCTCCCTCACTGATGAGGATCGCGACCACAGATAGTGTTCCTCCACAGATACTGCGGTCATAAGCTGTGTGGACCGCACGATGCAAACTCCCGCCCACCGTCTTCCTCACCGCGTCCGACCATCTCGTCGGTGCCCTGCCCCGAGTGCGTCCCCCTTCATACTGTATGATACTTAGGTTACACAAAAAGTATCTTTATCTTCGAACGCAACCAGATCTGAGGCTGGTGGCCATAGTAGGTAAATGTTGTTCGTCTTGGTAAGACCTTTCAAATGACACTACAAACATTACTATTGGAGCCGGGTACCATTCTGCAAAAAAGTATGTATATCTTCGTACACAACCAGATCTGAGGCTGGTGGTCATAGTAAAAGTTGTTCATCTTGGTAAGACCTTTCAAACGATACTAGACTCATATCTATTGGAGCCGGGTACCATTTTGCCCATTGTCCTTTCAAGTGCCTACGTTTAGCCGTTTAGGCTGTGCGTTGATATGTCAGTCAGTCAGTCAGTTTCTTTACCCAAAATTTCCCTTCACTACTCTGCTCCTATGTATACTATAACCTGCCCAGTAGGTCTAAGCTGCGCGCCGTGATAACTTTTATCGACGTCAAAATGTATGGGCAAAATCGATAAAATGGCGTGATAACCGCTTATCGCGGCGCGCATCTTAGGCTTACAGGAGTATGAAGAATAATTGTACCAAGTTTCGTTAAAATCCGTCGAGTAGTTTTTATTTCTATAAGGAACATACAGACAGACAGACAAAAAATTTACTGATTGCATTTTTGGCTTCAGTATCGATCACTAATCACCCCCTGATAGTTATTTTGAAAATATATTTCATGTACAGAATTGACCTCTACAAATTTATTATAAGTATAGATAGTTAAGTGTATTTTAATTAAAACATTGCAGTGAACGCAATAGATTCGGTAAAAACATTTTAAATTACCGAATCACCTGTGGCTAAGCCATTTCTTTGCATCATTCGTATCTGTAGTGATACTGATGTTACGTAGGTACCTACCTGATTTGAAGGGAAGGATGTGGTAAATAATAATTGTGAAATAAAAAAATATTTCAGTTATATTTTTATTTGTCAGTCATTTTACTATAAAATTATATGTATTCTTCTACAAGCGGTAAAAGATACGGAAACAAATTGGTGGGCATTTCGCGGCCCCAAACAAAGTCAAAATGATTGAAATCTTCGTAGGGCATGACTTGGTAGTGCACGACGTTGGGCAGCGCGTCGCGCAGGCGCTCGGCGTCCAGCACCGTCGCCAGGTAGTCGTTGCTGCCCACCAGCAGCGCCATGTTCATGCTCACCTGGCTCAGGTCGAACTCCGGGGGCTCGGTCGTCCCGTACGCCACCTTGTTGCCTTTCGAACCGTAATCATATCTCGCAAACTTGTTTCGATCTATTATTTGTACCAAATGGTCAAACAACTTTCTGCTGCTGCCTTCAGGATAATGCCCGAAAAATGTGCGGATGAAGTCACGTTCGAATCCTTGCTCATCCGGACCGAACAGCGGGAATATAACTCCCTCGACGCAGAGCGTGTACCGGAGAGGCCCAACAAGGCACGTGGCGTTGAACAAACCACTTGTAACTTGATTTCGACCTGCTACTTCGTTGACACCGACCAGCAACCCTATGCTTGTCAATGTGTTTCCTAACAAAGACCCAACCGTTGCGAGTCCTCTCAAATGCTGTATGAAGCTAATGGGCGCCAGAGATATGAACGCCCTGATTTTGGCGTTATACTCAGGTTTGACGGACCCCAACACGTAAAAATTCGTAGTTCCGACAGAGTGCCCGATGGCGAGCAGACTGCTCTGATTGGTCTCATTTAAGATATAATCTATTGTGGCTGGCATGTCATAAACACCCTGCTCGTAAAATGTGTAGTTGTAGAACTCCCTCATCTGCAGGTTAGGATTTAAATAAAGGTGCCGCTTCGACAAAGTGGTGCCCCTGGAGTTGATCGCCCACACGTCGTAGCCTCTCCTGGCGAGGTTGATGGCCAGGGAGTCGTTGCCGCGGATGATCCAGCAGCTGGCGTCGGCCGTGTTGCCGTGCACCAGCAGCACCGGCCGGCTGGCGTTGCCCGGGATGTGGTGCAGCGCCAGAATGTAGCCATCTACGGTCACCACGTCCTTGGTCACTGCATTCGGGAACCCATACTTTGCCGCGATTTGGGTGAAATTTAACCTTCCATCTTCGTTCAATATGCCGTCGAATAAGGCAAAACAACTTTGACTTCCCACCAATAAGATGAACACAATGAAGACTCCATTCGGGAAGTCCTTCATTATTATAATATTGGTAGAGACTGACTGTATCACTGGTTGTTTTGTAGCTGCTTTTATAGTTAATTTCGGCAAAGTAAACAGTCAATACACTGGTGATCATAAAGATTGGGTACTATCTAAAATGTTAAAAACATAGGAATTTTATGTTATAATCTCTCATCAAATTGGTGTCTTACGTGAATTTCGTTCTGTTACAGAAAGTTCATACATTGTATCGCCAAATACACTTAACAAAAAATGTGGTGTTCTATTGGTAAAATATTTTTAAAGTCGACAATTTTTGATTTGGTTTCTGTAAAAAAATTAGATGTTTAAAAAAGTATTTATTTGTCTCAACATTACATTGAAAAAAGAAATATAGGACGTGAAATAATAATTAAACAGCAGATTTTTTGATCGTCAGTGTATGTAACACAAAACGACTTTAATTAAACATGCAATAATCACTTAAAAAATTTAGTTACCTACTTAACTAAATAACGATACGTGTAAATCAGCCAGCGACGTCAATCAAGAAAATACGCTAATTTATTAATTAGAATTGATTAGCAATGTTAAGGTTCTGGTACACTTGCGCGAAAGACACTAGCGCGAAAGACATTTGTGCGAAGATACTAGCGCGAAAAGCCATTTGCGCGAAAAGACATTAGCGTGAAAGATACTACACGATAGACATTTGCGCGAAAAAAGTTTTTTATTATTCGCGAAAAGTATTTGATGTGTCTGTTTGTCTTGTGATCTTGTCAGTTTGTGGCATTATTAGCTCCTGAATGACTGAAGCGATTGATTTTATTTTCTCGCTTGTATATCGAAAACGGTACGTTCTAGCACAAAAATAACATCAAAGGCCCTTGAAGTCTCAAATACTAGAATTAGAAAACAAAAAATATTTTTTGCATTTTTCCATACTAAAAAGCGAAGCCACACGAGGCACTAAGGGCCCTTATCGCGAAAGCAGAAAGAGACGCGCCGCCACCGCCGCCACCGATGCCGCTGCGACTCCTGCGACTACGGTCACCACCGTGCCAACTGTTGAAGGGCAGTATGCGCCGCCCACGCCGAAAGTATGTGAGCAAACACCGCGACTGTCAAGAATGAATCAAGACACGCGCTCCGTCAGCTCGTCGAGAAGACCCGGAAGAACTTATGAGAAGCTTGGAGGTCCGGTTCAGGAGACCCAGAGCAATAGCCCTGGCGGAATTGAAGAAAATGGAAAGGCTACCAAGGGTCATGAGTCATCAGGGGAGATCTGCACGTTTGCACATTTGTGCGCACCGGGGGTCGTCGTCTCATTGATAAGATACCGCCGACCATAAAGTCTCAATGGCTGATGATTCAACGCTAGTGCCGGGCAGAGGGAAAACCAGCGTCGAACTTATGTACTTCATGGAAGTTGAAGCAGATATAAATAGCGACTATGCTTCCCCAGAGGTGTCCTGGGACCAGAAGAGGGACACATTCAAGAGGCCGGTCCACCACGTCCAAGTGGAGGGACATCACGTGCCCAGAATGCCGAGAAGTCTACTGGCTGTACGATTGCAAGAAATACAGGGAAGCCGGTGTGGATGAAAAATGGGAAATGGCAAAGAAGGCGAGAATGTGTTTCAAATAGCTGCGCTTCAAGCACGCGAGAAACACATGCCGGGCCTTCGCCATGTACGATGCTGAGAGAGGGCTTTTTCGGTAGATGCAGAGTAGATATACTTACATGAATATAAAAGTCGATGGGTATACTAGTAGTATTAGGTGCAAAATAACCCCGTTGGCCGCCGCCAACGGAAATTCCTAATTCTTTCGCAGGAGGCTTCGCGATCGCGACCCACTCATGAGCCATTTCTTATAAAATTGCTAAAACTAGACGACAATTTTTTTCTGTCCAAATTATGGCATTGTTTATAAAATTGGAATGAAAATGTTGTTCGTTCGTTCGTTCGTTTCAGCCGAAAGACGTGCACTGCTGGACAAAGGCCTCCCCCAAGGATTTCCACAAACACCGGTCCTGCGCCGCTCGCATCCAGGCACCTCAGGAAAATTTTGAGTTGACAAAAATGACCTAAAGTGTGATTTTGGCTTGGCCCGGATGGAAAAGCAGACTGGGCTCACCTGGGCTCACCGGTGAGCCATACGGCGTGCAACGTACTTATTTAATTTATTAATTTATTCTTCATCTTTACTTTCAATAACATTTCAGTGCCCACACTATTCTTATCTTATCTTATTTAGGGCCGCGCATGAGCGCAGTGCACGTCGACCCATTGGGATCTTTTGTGCTTCCCTATACCTTTATCCCCCCTCATCCGCAAAGATCCTATCCATATAGTGGATCAAGAGCTTGGGTGAGAAGGACCTATATTCTTCTGGTGTCGGATAAGCCGACCCCAGGAGACCCATTCTAGTTCTAGCTAGCGCGTCACATTCGCACAGTAGGTGTTTCATGGACTCCGCATGTTCTCCACATGCTCGACAGCTGTCATCCGTAGTTAGGCCCATTTTGTGGAGCATGTGGTTTGTAGTGTAGTGTCCTGTCAGCGCACCCGTGATCACTCGGGCTTGCCTTCTGTTTCCATTGAGTATGAGCTTTTCCCATGATCTTGTGTTTCCAACTAGGAATAGTTTGGAGTGGCTCATACCGTTGGAGCTTTCCCATTCAGCTCTGTGCTTCCTGGATATATATTGCCTCATGGCCATGTGTAAAGTGCTCATAGATAAGGGCACTATCGGCTCTGGCCCAATAGGTGCCGCCTCTGACCCTTGTCTCGCTAGACTGTCGGCTCTCTCATTGCCTTCGATTCCAGTATGTCCAGGTACCCACATGAGGGTCACCCTGTTGTGCCTTCCAAGTTTATTCAGTGCCAAGATTGCCTCCAGAACGAGTCTGGATCCAACCCTCACTGAGGCAATGGCTTTGAGTGCTGCCTGACTGTCACTTAATATGTAAATGTCACGCTTTTTATGCGCCTGTTCTATATTCCTTACTGCGCACATGATTATAGCATAGGTTTCAGCTTGAAACACTGTTGCAAACCTCCCTAAGCTTTCACTGTGCTCAGATTGTTTGGAGTAGACGCCCGCTCCTGTTCCTGAGTTCATCTTGGAGCCGTCAGTATACCAGATCAGGCTGTCTTGTTGACGTTTTAGTCCTCTTTTCCAGTCTTCCCTTGTTGGTATAGACACTTTGAAATCCTTGCTAAACATGTACCTAGGCTGCATTGTATCACAACCCATGTCCATTATTGCATCTAATTGAGGATCGCTCCCCATCCTTGTGTGCTTGGTGCAAGGTTTGGATGTACTCCAAAGTCCCGCCCCCTTCAGTCTGTGCAGCGCCTTCCTTGCATCTACTTCTAGCGCCAAGTGCAGTGGGGGCAATCCCAGAATAATCTCCAATGCTGCAGTTGGCGTAGTTCTAAACGCACTCGTTATTGCTAGGCATGCAGTTCTTTGCAATTTGCCCAGTGCCGTTCTGCACGTCTGTAACCTAATTCTAGGCCACCAGACAATGCTGCCATAAAGTATTATTGGTCTCACCATAGTTATATAGATCCACCTCATCACTCTGGGACTAAGTCCCCATGTCTTCCCGTATGCACCACGACACATTCCCAGCACTCTCATAGCCTTAGCTATGACCGTATCTTGGTGTTTACGCCATGTAAGTTCCTTATCTAGGATTACCCCTAGATATTTCACTTCATTGGTCCAGGTTATCTGTTTACCATAAAGGTAGAGATGTCCTAGCCCTGTTGTATTTCTCATTTTTGTAAATGCAATAGCATTCGTTTTTCCCGGATTCACCGAGAGGTGGTTTTTGTCACACCACTCTTCCAGTGTGTTGAGGGCTCTTTGCATGATGTCTGTCACAATAGTTGGGAACTTGCCCCTTACCATAATTACCAAATCATCTGCATATCCAACCGTGTAGAGTGGTCCTTTGTTAAGTTTCACAAGTAGTGAGTCCACGACCAGGCTCCATAGCAAGGGTGAGAGTACCCCCCCTTGCGGGCAGCCCTTGACAGTCCTTACACTCATGCACTCTCCTTGCAGTTCTGATTGAATAATCCTGCCTTTAAGCATACAGTCTATCCACCGGCATAGAGGTAGTGGTACCCCGTGGTCAGAAGCAGCAGCTCCTATAGAGACGAAGGTAGTGCGGTCAAATGCCCCCTCTATGTCGACAAATGTCCCAACAGTAACCTCCCTACTCTCAAGAGCCGCCTCCGCCCTGCCGGTTACATAGTGTAGCGCAGTTTCTGTAGATTTCCCTGCCTGGTATGCACATTGTAGCTCATGTAGAGGAAATCTTTTTAGTGGTCCTTGTCTTATGTACTTATCTACAAGTTTTTCAAGCGATTTGAGAAGAAAAGATTGTAGACTTATTGGCCTATATGCCTTAGGGTCGTTGTAATCCGGTCTACCTGGTTTAGGTATAAAGATCACTTTGACTTCTCTCCATACCTTAGGTATGTATCCAAATGCTATGCAGGCCTTGTATAACCTGCATAGATGAGGATTCAGAATGGAGATTCCTTGCTGCAAGAGAATTGGGTAGATCGAATCTGGGCCTGGTGCCTTGTATGGTTCAAAGCTCCCGATTGCCCATCTCACCTTAGTCTCATCCACTACTCTTTTAGCCGTAACCCAGTCGAGCTTGTTTGTTGTTCTATTTTGTTCCTCCACGCTGATTGGATCTTGATCATCGTTTAGGACCTGTGATTCAGGAAAGTGCGTTGCTATCATTGTTTTCAACGTATCTTTGCCTGCTTCCGTATATCCCCCCCTCTCACTCCATACTGTAGTGAGTGGGTTCGCTTTGGTTGTTGACATGGCCTTTGTCAGTCTCATGCCCTCGGGAACTGAGTTGATCATCTCACAATGATCCCTCCATGCCTTCCTCTTTGCCTTTCGCACCGCTTTGCTATACTCCGTCAGTGCTCTTCTATACTCTGTCTGTGCCTACACTATAGTTAGGCTATCTTGTCTTGCGGTCAAATTGGCGTAGG